CCGCCACATGTTTCCTGGCAGAACCAGGAAAGCTCGCAACAGTCGTCCTCCGGGCCTTGGGGTCCGGCTGTTGGGAAGAAGAAGCCCTTGGAGCACCCGTCTAAAAAAGAAGAAAAAAGTCAGTATATGCATAAACACAACTCCAAAAAAGGGTGAAAGGTTCGAAGCTCATCAAGGGTGCCCCCTTCTTGGGGGAGTCGGTTGAAGCTTGTTGCATGATGGAGGCCCGCAACATGGCCGCCGCAGTCTTGGAGGCGGTAATTTTGCTCATAGCGTCCGCTGCAAAAACAAATAGCAAAGTTAATAAGTCATAACAAGAAATGTATGGAACAACAGAGTATTCGACAGGCCGACTACCTCTTGAGCACCGACTGCTGAGGCCACAGGCGGCCAAAAAGTACTCGTCATAGAGCCATTTGAAGCTCGGGACGCAGTGCAGAGGTACTTGCTCTCGTACCCCTGAAGTAGAGTCGACCCTTGACTCTACTTTAAAGAGTCCTTTATCCAGGATCTCTTTCTTAGCCTTGGGGGGAACAAGCGGCATGCTGCGGCCGCCTGCAAGAAGGGGCGAATTCCTGTTCCACCTGTTGAGGCGCTTGTTCAGCTCTGTGTCTGAACTCTCAATGATGAGGAAGGTGCTCCGCCAGTCCTTCCATTTGTTTGCTTTACCTCTCGTCATGAGGTAGCCCCTGTGGCTCGTCAATTGATACCAGCCGGTACCGCCTGCCTTAGGGGTCCGGCTGAGATAATTCATGTGGGCGAAAGCCTCGAAGCTCGGCTCCACCCCGTGCAGTTCGCACCCGGCCACATAGCCGAGTACGTTGACCCAGGAGTTCGGGGCTAACTGCCATAACCCCAACTCATACCCATCCAAGATCCGCTGAACAGCCGGATGTAATGGGAAGCGCAGCCCAGCCTTGATGGCCGCCTCGTAGCAGCCAAAGCAGGCGCTATCATAACTGGTACCAGCCGGCCAGACGACTGTGTCTTCTGGATCCAGCACAAACACTAAAAAGTCGGGGCCCATTGTGTGGTTTGCGATAAAGCTCTCCACTTTCTCTTGCATGGCCGTGATCCGGCCCCGAGGTACCGTGCAGTAGTAGGAGGTATTTTGCTCTCGGTAAGAGGCGGATGGCTCCGCCCAATTGTCCCCCTTCTCAACTGCGTGAGAAAGCCTCGCCTCTTGCAGGCGACTATTTTTCTCTTCTGTGTCCACAGAAGCATGGCCAGAAGAGCTAGACTCGGAATCGTTCTCTGACGAGTCCGTAGAGGACGACTCCTCCCCTCTCCTGGAGGGGCCCGCCTCCTCTCCTTGAAAAGGAGCAGAATTGTTAACTGTAAAATGGGAAGGGGTCACTATGACTCCTCCCTCAGAATTGCCGGCTTTCAGGCCGCCTTGTTTCACTTCCACATCTGGCGCCTGGTCAGATGTTTCACTAATCGGCACCTTGTGGGAGGAGTCGTCTGAATTTGAGATCCTAGCAGTCTTTTTTGTTCTGGCCATCCTGCTCTGCATAGACACAGATACAGTCGGACTTTGTATAAAGGGCAAAGATGGGTCCGGAATAGGGCAGGCGGCACTCCTATTCCTAGATTCAGCCGTCCCCGGTGACTGGCTGATCACTAACCTAGGTCGTGTTGTGTGCTTCCGTGGTGCCATTTCAAAAAAGAATAAAAAGAAAATTAAGAGTAAGAGAACCGACAGTTACCTGAACGAGTGACGGTTGATGAAGTTCTGAAAAATCCTTTGCAGTCGGCTTGTCAGAACAGGCGGTAGGCAGAAAAGGTCCAAATTGTCAGAGCAAGTTCAGGGGTCCGAATGTTCTCTCACAAAGTTCTCAAGTGTGAAAATGACTGAAGTCAACACTCCCTTATATAGGCGAAGTGAGAAGGCGAAGGGTCACTTTCAGAATTCAAAATTTGGGCGGGAAAATCTCTCGGCCTTTCGCCGACTGACACCTGTAGCAGGCCGTCGCCTGTTACAGTGCGACACCTGTCACAGGTAACACGTGACCAATCACGTGCCACCTGTGAGGGGCAAATGATTAGGGGATTTTGCTCCCACCAATCACCATCTGACAAGTGGACCAATCAGGTTCCGCCATGTGTCCGTCACATGGGCCAATGGAGCCTGCCACGTGTCAAGCAATGATCCGTCCACCTTGGACCAATTACGACACGACATGTGTCCTTCCCATGACACCTGGGATAACCGGCCACCTAGGCCCAACTTCCGAGGGAAGCCCAATCAGCCCTAGGTTAACCTAAACCTAGGATTGGCACGTTTCCCAAGGTTATAAATACCTCCCTTAATGCTCATTAAGGGAGATTACACATTAATTACAGAAATTACATAGAGATAACAGGCTGATCACGCTAACAAAGCAGATTACCTACATTAAACAATCTCACCTAGAGAGACCCAATCACTTTAATTTCCGCATTAATTACTCCTTAATCAAGTACTAACTTGACCGTTGGAGGCGGAGCTCCCACCACCAGGAGTCTCCGTTGTTTTGCAGGTACAGGCGTCCGGTTCCAGTCTCGGAATTGTAACTCTCCCGCAGGACATCAGAAAACCCCAAAACAGTTAACATTTCGGCAATTTTTATTTCCGGGCTAAAAAAAGTAAAAAAAATCCAAAAATTGAAGGCTAATATATCCACGCTTTTTGAGAAATTTTGGAGGTTTCGGGGCAGGTGTCAAAAACGCTTGAAATTTTAGGAGATACATCTCGGGGTCATATAATGCCGTTTGGAACCATATATGATCATTATATCTTGTCATAAATGTTCATGGTAGGTTTGAGTACAGTTAATGAAATCCGTGCAACTTTTAAACTGGTAATTAAATTGGTCGTTTAAAGTAAAATTGAATGGTTCCACTAACCCAATTGGACTCCCGGAAGGTATTTGGGACCATGGTAAACATTTCGGAAATTTTTATTTGCGGGCGAAAAAAAGTAAAAAAAATCCAAAATTGAAGGCTAATATCCATACTTATTGAGAAATTTTGGAGGTTTCGGGGTAGGTGTCCAGAATTCTTGAAATTTTAGGAGATATATCTCGGGGTCATATAATGTAGTTTGGAACCATATATGATCATTATATCTTGTCATAAATGTTCGTGGTAGACTTGAATTAAAGGCAAATTGGACGGTTCCACCTAACCAATTGGACTCCCAGAGGGTATTAGGGACAAAGGCAAACATTTCGGCAATTTCTGGACAAAAAAAAGTCAAAAAAACTCCAAAATTGAAGGCTAACATCCACACTTTTTGAGAAATTTTGGAGGTTTCGGGGCCTAGTATCGAAAAGTTTTTAAAAACTAGGGATATATCTCGGGGTCATTTAATGCCGTTTGGAACCATATATTATCATCATTCGTAATAATTAGTTGTAAACAGGTAAATTGGCCTTTTAAAGGCAAATAGGATGGTTCCACCCACCTAGCTAATTGAACTCCCGGAGGGTATTAGGGACCATGGTAAATATTTCGGCAATTTTTTTTCTGGGCGAAGAAAAGTAAAAAAAATCCAAAATTGAATGCTAATATCCATGCTTTTTGAGAAATTTTGGAAGTTTCGGGTCCGGTGTCGAAAAGTCTGTAGATTTTAGGGGGTAAATCTCGGGGTCATATAATGCCGTTTGGAACCATATATGATCATTATATGCTGTCGTAAATGTTTGTGGTAGGCTTGAGTTAATGAAATCGGTGCAAGTTGTAAACCGGTAAATTTGCTGTTTAAAGGTAAATTGGATGGTTCCACCCGCCCAATTGGACTCCCGGGGGATATTAGATACCAAGGTAAACATTTCGACAATTTTTATTTCCGGGCGAAAATTCAAAAATTGAAGGCTATATCCACGTTTTTTGAGAATTTTTGGAGTATTCGGGTCCCGGTGTCGAAAAGTCTTTAAATTATAGGGAATACATTTCGGGGTCATATATGAAGTTTGGAACCATATATGATCATTATTTGTTGTCATAAATCTTCGTGGTAGACTTGAATTAATGAAATCGGTGTAAGTTGTCAACCGATAAATTGGTTGTTTTAAGGCAAAATGGATGGTTCTCCCCATGCAATTGGACTCCCAGGGGGTATTAGAGACCATGGTAAACATTTCGGAAATTTTTATTTCCGTGCGAAAAAGTCAAAAAATTCCAGAATTGAAGGTTAATATCCATGCTTTTTTAGAAATTTAAAAAGTTTCGGGGCCCGGTGTCGAAGAGAAATGAGATTTTAGGGGATACATCTCGGGGTCATATAATGTCGTTGGAATAATAAATGATCATTATATTTTGTAATAAATGTTCATGGTAGGCTTGAATTAATGAAGTCGGTGCATGTTGTAAACCGGTAAATTGGTCATTTAAAGGCAAATTGGATGGTTCCACCCAGCCAATTGGACGCCTGGAGGGTATTAGGGACCATGGTAAACATTTCGGCAATTTTTATTTTCGAGTAAAAAAGTTCAAAAAATTCCAAAATTAAAGGCTAATATCCATGCTTTTTGAGAAATTTTAGAGGTTTCGGACTTTGAAACATCCCACACATTCTCTTCAATTTTTTAAAAATTTACCAAAATTGTTTTCGGGTCAGTGGGTCGGGTTCGGGTCAATTTCGGGTTTTGCTTAGAACCAATAAAAAATAGTGTAAAACTTAAAATTATTACGAAATATGAAATTTTGGTCAAATCGGGTCGAATTCAGGTTATTCGTGTTCGGATCAGGTCGGGTTCGGGTTTCTCTCAGTAACTTCGGGTCAGGTTCGTTCGGGTTATCGGGTCGGGTCAGGGATTGCCAGCCCTAGACTTATGATCTTCTGTTTAGACAATTTTCAACTTAGTCAGGCCCGAAACAGAAAGAGGTTAGAATATTTGACATGGACCTCACGAAACCTTAGAAGGTCATTTGGGTGGTTAGTTAGAACTAGCTATGCTAGTTCTTACCCCAAAAAAAAAAAAAAGAGATAGTATATCTGTATATACAACAGAGAATTTTGTAAGTGCTCAGTCTCTATATACAGAGTATTTGTATAATTTATACGGTGCAAAGTTTCATCATAAACTTGTACTTGCAAACGATGTAAACTTGTTTATTACATGGTCAGAAACTAAAAAGAGAAATTTTCTCAAAAAAAAAAAAAAAAAAAAAAAAAAAAAAAGAAAAAAAAAGAGAATTAACTACAGATTTACAGCCTTTTGCAATTTCAACATGTACAATTTTCTGAATCCACTCTACAACGGCTACCAACTAAAAGTTAACCAAAAGTGAAGTAATTCACTCAGGATGACCCAGTAAGAATGAATGCATGGATGAGGCTTTGGGCTGCCTGTGTCTGATCAGGTGTCCCAGATATTACGACAGTCCTACTTTCTATTCCAGAAACCGCTTCATGCACTATAACCTTAGCACCTGATATCTGAATTAGTCCGAGAATACCAAGTCGAAACAAGGTCAGGGCACACCACAAGAAAGGACCAAAAGTAAAAGAAATCATAAGTATAACAGAGGTATGCTAGTAAATGAATGGCTACATCAATTACAAATACCTGATTTCCACAGCATTATGGCCTTAACATATTTCAGGCATATTATACTCCTAAACAAGCACATGTTGGTTTCTCACATTTACACAAATGAAAAGAATCGTGATCTAGTTTACTATATTTAGGAATCAAGAAAATTATTTAGGGGCAGCAGGAGTAAGAAGATCAGACTCAAGGATATGAATACTACGTAAATAAAATTTTCACTATACCTGTCTTATACGAGTTAAATTGCTCCCATTCTCACCATAAACAGAGCTAATAGAGGTTTCAGGAACCACGATCTCCACTACTGTATTTGTAACAATAGCTGGACTGAGTGTCCTGAAACAAAAATGTTGGTTATTAGTAGTGAAAATACACAACACTAAAACATACTTGTATTAGTTAATACATTCTTTAATAACATGACTGTTCATGCAATCAAATTCCCTATACTAAATATAACGCATGCAGCTTTATGAATGCAATTTGCTAGATCAAATAAGTATATCAACATTGTCAAATCATGGAGCAAAAGCTTCATAGATATTGCTCCATTGTTTTATGAGCTGAACATATAATAATACACTAACACCGAAGTAAAAAAAAAAAAAAAAATTTGTTATTTCCTCCATTTTTATAAGTATAACACTTCCTATAAACAGCTTCTTTTTTTTTTTCCATTTATTTATTTGTTTTTATACTCCGTAGTGTGTATATATATATATGTATATACAAACTTTTAAAAAAATCGGGTGTACAATAATTATTGTACATCCACTATAAAAATAGACTAAATTGATCAAAAGTTACCCCTAAAATAAATAAAAGTTACCCTAATATGCATAAAAGTAATCCAATACAAATAAAAATTATTAGTAAAGAATCACATTTTAAATGACTAAAAATCAATTATTTGTGATTAAATGTAATTAAATTACCACTATATAACTTTTCTTATTGTCTATTTATATAAAAATTGTATTATGTTAAAAGTTACCCCAAAAAAAGCAAAAAGTTATCCTAAAATTAGGTAAAAGTTACCCTTATACTGCTCGATGTACAATAAAATTAGTGTAAACCGGGTGTATACAAAAGTTTTTGATATACATATACATATATCGTACCCACCTTCCCCTCACATCATTTCTAAATAAACTATTTAGCCACTTTCTCCTTATTATAATAATTTAATTCTCCAACAAACCCCACAGTCCCACTTACATACGAAGTACGAAGTATTAACTTTCACGAGTCAAATAAAATACCTAAAACTCTTTGCTATCAAAGTGGATAAAATCCCAAGTTTAGAGTATAGTACTATAGTCAGCTGATGACAATAACTTTGCTTTTTAGATTGCCTTTTAACATAATTGAGATATAATTTTCAATTAAAACCGAGTATAATATAGAAGATGAAATTAAAGCCATTATTTTCTCTTAAAAAAAATAAATAAAAAAAATTAAAGCCATTATTTGAGGTTTTTGACCTTCAAGAAATAATAATAATTATAAAAAAAAATCTAAAAAAAAAGGCAATTTGTAATAATACACTACCAACCTGCCAAGTTGAACTCCGGTATTAGCAGAAGCCAATCCTCCGTCAAAAGTCACAAAGTTCCTTGGATTTACTCCAGCAGGCTGTAATCACCACAAAATCATTCAAAAGGGTATACAAAATACATCAGGGGGTGAGAGAGACAGAGAGGAGTTGGAAAATAAAAAGGAAAGAGGGGGTGGGGGGAGCAATCCCCTACCTCAATTGTCTGAAGGCCCGTTGAAGGTAAATAATGAGATATATTAGGATGCGGCAAAGGGCCGTACCCCTGACTTAAAGTAGCTTGTCCACCAACAGATTGATTTGTCCCAGAAGATTGGCGCAAACCAACTGTTGTCGCATCTTGGATTCTTCCACAAATACTAGTATCTGATAATAATTTACCAGTCCCGCTTCCTGGAATGTTCATTGCTTTACTAGTGAATAGGTTATTTCGAAGCCTACTAGTTACATGATACAAGGCATCTTGTATGTTTACAAATTGCCCTGAGATCTGGCATTTGAGAAGGCAACAAGGGAAACAAGTAATGAGAACATCAAAGTGTCAGAGGTTTCAAATTTAAAAGGGGAAAAGGCTATTATGATTTGTGAATAGAGATGTATTTGATCAACTTTGGACAGGCAGAAAAATAATACAAGCACTAGACATTAAGAGGAATTTCAATTAATACTATAGTTACGGATGAAAAAAGGAACATTACATTAAATTACACAAAGCACGGAGAGCATAATATACCCTTTAAAAAAGAAACAGTTTAGAATAAAAAGGCAATTCTCAGTCAAGGAATAGAGAATGAGAGAATTAAAAACATAATTGTAACACAAATCACATGACTTAGTATGACATTAAAGCTTGGAAGGGAACAAGAAAAGAATTAATACTACCTCAACTACTTCGCTATCCTGTGCAGCACACTTCGGCACCAGGTCACCATTATGTATACGAATGTAGGCTCCAGTTACCTTTCTAATCTCAGAAATTATAGCACCTCCTTTACCCAATAAGCAACCAACTTGATTTGATGAGACTACAAGTCTTGCAGTGACTGCAGACCCCTGGTTCATGCCTGCCTCAAGTCCCTTCTCTGCCGTGGCTTCAACATACCTGGTATAGACCAGAACTACAGCACGCTGAGCAGGGGAATATCTTGAGCCAACATCCTACAAAGTTAATACAAGGAATACAGTGAGTTAGCACATCCAAACACATAGTTTCCATGACAATTAAGCCAATTATAACCAGCAATCAACGCACCTCCATCGAATAAACAGTGACCAACCGCTCATTACAATTAGCAACACAAAGTCCAACATCTATACTAGCCCCTGACTCTTCTTGAAGCGCATGGATAATGGATCCTCCTCTTCCAATCACCCCACCAACTCTATCATTGGAACAAAGAATTTTAAATACGACTTCTTTTCTGGGGAATTTTGATTCTGAGGCTGGAGGCCTAACAGACTCCAATGCTGGCCTCACAACAGGATTGAAAGTGGTAGTTGCCACAGATAATGGCATCTGATGAAGAGAATGATCAGCTGAATATGAAGTGGATTCCAAAGGTTTGTCCTCCTTGATGCTCGACTTTTCTGTGTAGCATTCTTGCAATTGGCCACAAATACCAACAAGAGCCCTTTTAACAGCCATCACATCCCCCTCAATCTAGATCAAACAAGGATAAAAAGCAATAAATCAAAACTCCATTCATCATAGCAACACTTAGCAAGTGTACTAGACCTAATTTGCGTAATCAACATGAATTACACAATCTACATACTAGTATATGGCTGTATATAACACATTAATCACACTAAATCGATATAAATGACTTTTGATGTAGCTGGATTGGATCGTCACCTTCATCATTCAATAATTTCTAATGATTGGCACAGATTATGAGTAATCTACCCACTCGGTAATATAGGTTTTTTCCCCAATCACAACGCATTACATCAATGCCACATCGAACACATCATCGTTTTCATCAAATGACTTATATAATGGTTAAATAATTTACAAACTAGATGAAATCTAGTCCTTAAAATAATAAAGTCACTTACTTTGTACACAAGTATGTCTTAATTTTAAATTATTGCATCACTACTTTAATCACATATAAAACAACACAAACAAAAAAAGCAAAACATCCAGCAAATTCAATAGTTAGTCAAATTAATCATCAAATACTACCAAAAATAATTAATTAGATTAAAAAGACAGAGCAAAAAATAAAGCTACCTCAACAACTTCATCAGGAATAGAAACACCAGGAGGCAATTTATTCCCAACCAAAACCCTAATTTTCGCTCCACTCTCTCTCCTCAATTTCGCCACAGTTTTCCCGCCTTTTCCAATCACAGAACCCGCTTCATTCACCTTCACCAAAATCCTACAAATCACCACCGCATTACCCTCCCCAGAAACTTCTAGAACCTTCTCGAAAACTCGAACCGCCGCCTCTTGAAACGCCGAGATCTGAAATTCAACCTCCGCCGGAGAATTCGACAGCTTCATCTTCTTGAATGGGACATAAGGAGCGACAATGACGATGACTTGGTGGTCGGAACCGAGTTGAAGCGAGTCATCAACTCGGATTTTGGAAGCAGTTTGGAGTTGCAGGTGTTTGATGGAAGAGCCCGATTTGCCGATGAAGGCGCCGACGGAGGAGTCAGGGCAGAGCATGCGGAGGGAGGCGTGGCCGGCGGGCGGTGGCTGCGGAGTGGTGCGGTTGGAGGCGGCGGTGGCAGCCATTGGAGGACGTTTGGAAGGTTGAGTGGGAGAAGCAGTAACTGCCATGAATGAGGAAAATTGAAGTGGAAGAAGAAGAAAAAAAAAAAGCGTGTTTTTGACTAAATTGACTGGTTATTCTCCCCTATGACTTGTTTCGTAGTTCCTTCCTTTGTTTTTATCTTTTTTCTTTTTTGTCTTTCTCACTTTCCTTCTTCAAAGGGGTGAGTTTTATCTTTTGACGTAGTCCTATCTTTCCTGATTTGTTTTTTGTGGGCGTATTTATATATGATTAGAATTGTCAATTTGAGTATTTAAGTCGGGTTATTATTTACTACGAATACTATTTTTGAGTTGTGCTAAATTATTATGTTTATAAAGTCAAAAATCTAAAGCATATATTTTTCAAATTGGTTTCGAGTTGGCCGGGTTAGATTTTAGCACCTCTATGACTATGGCTAGAGTTGTGCATAGGTCATGAGTTAGGCACGACATTAAAATAAAAATAAAAAATTAAAACCTAATCCAATATTAGTATATCAGTTTGACATGGGACGAGTGACAAGCTAGTGAGGTGACTGTGCATTGACATAAGTTTAAAATTTTAAACAAGTTTAGCATAAGCATGACATCATTTATGAAAACTACTCAAGAAGTTGACACATCACTTTCACTTAGCTTATTTTGAGCACAAGTTGCTTGAACATAAGACAAGCACATCATTTTAAGCCCTAACATAATAAACGCTAACACGACACATGAGCATACATAATTCATCCCAAGCAAACCTAGTTAATAGCGTTGAATGGATCGGATGATCAAACAAATATAACACTACAAGTGATTACTATAAATTGAGCCGTTCAGATATCCAATTTTAGATGGTATATTAGATGTCTAATTTGATATCCAAATTTTGGACGAAATAGCTTTAAAATTTACTTAGTCATAACACCATACAAAACTACCTTACAATTTAATATCCAAATTTAAAACCTCATTCAAAACTACTCTATAATCTCAACTACCTTAAAATACAATTACTTCCTCCATCACACCAGTTTAAACAACACCCTTTTACTTTACCTCAAAAGTCAGAAAGTCTTTTGATAACTAGTTACAAATTTCTGCCATGTACACACATCAGATATTCAGATTTCATAACACTACTGTAGTATTTAATTTTCCTGCAATTGGGAGCCAAAAACTTGCAATTGCACCATTATCAGTCCCACACTCCCACCAGATTACTTAGGGTCATAACAGCCGAGTTTACCAATGCAAACAACTAACCAAACCAAAAGTTCATAACACAATCTTCCAATATATCTTAAGAAGAAAACAAAGGTCAGATTCCTGGTAATTGACAACAAAGTGACTCTAAAATTTATCCTGCACAGAATTTGCAGAAAATAAAAGTAAATATACCAAAATATTGGACAATACCAGTGACACAAATATGCACTGCCGTTCATACTTCATAGCCGGGATTAACAGTCTGTTGAATATCTTTGTAACTCTCCAACTCATCAATATCTTCAGGACTACCTAGAAATAGAGGTAATCTTTGGTGAAGCTTAATAGGTTGGATGGAAAGAATCCTACTTTTACCATCAGAACCTTTTCCCCCAGCCTGTTCTGCGACAAAGCTGAGGGGGTTTGCTTCATATACAAGCCGAAGATGATCTCTTGGATTCATTGCCACTCCACCATATAATAAAGTCCTATGAAAATCAGCAACCAGTGAGCATATATAGCGGGCAGAGTATTTCTTTGGATATTTTCCTTTTCCTTGTCTAACAGTGTCAATATACTGCCTCAAACCTTCCGGCCAATCAAAGTAACGGGCATCATTTACAGAATATATCTGACCTGAAAGGCTAGATATCATCAGTAGAAAACAGACCCTTTTTAACCAGTTGCACATTTTTTGAACAAAGAGATATTCCTACTTTGCATGACAGCAAAAGAGAAAATAGAACCAGACACACCATGTAATTCAGTCAATAGAAAATTCTAAACAACATGCATTCTTAGTGAGCTTGAGCCACAGTCTGATATGTACACGAAACATAATATTATTAAAAGATACAAGGATCAAATCTCTCCTGTTCTCATGACTTCCATGCTCATAGCCATTAATACAAAAGGACTGCACAATCTAAGGTGAAGAGCTGATTTAACAAGTAGAAAATAGATTGGTTATGAATATCAAGAACCTTAAACTTGCCACAAATTCAACATGAACTTCAACATTCAGCATACCTCGAGGTGGAATTTGGATACTAGGATGTGTAAGTATGAAATCGCCTGTTGAACGATCCAGAGTGAATGAATGGACTCCAGAGCCAAAAGTGGCACAGAAAATAGTGGCCGATGAATAGAGGACATAGCCAGCAGCAACAAGCTTGGTACCACTTTGAAGTGAATTTAATGATGCCTTCTCGTTGTGGGGAAGGTGATCTAGCTCCTTAAGACGATTGTAAATGCCAAAAATTGTTCCAGTGGGAATTGATGCATCAATATTTCGCGAACCATCAAGAGGATCCATGACCACCACAAATGGACCATCATCAGTCATACAAACTGGGGCATCATTTTCTTCAGAAGCCACAACTGCTACTTTTCCTGATCGTTGAAGAGAAGACAAAATAATTTCATTCTGCATAACCAAGTGTCTTCATCAGAGTAATACTATCCATTTGACTTTATTCAATCAATAGAAGGTATCAATCATGTTATCCTCAGATGAGACTCATATCATGAGATTTAATGCTCATTCCCAGAGTTGCCTGACAGTACAGATAACATGTGGTCTTTGAAGTTCAGATTCAGAAGAGGCGGGAGTTGATCACTTGAGGTGATGCCCCAAGTTCCCATGCTTCTATGATAGTATGTCCGGTTAATAATGTTCCTCTCTCCAATCTACTCTACAAATTTCATCACTTACGTTTCTAGATTTACTAATCCCAAGTTCACAACACCCCAATAGGGCAACAACCACCAAAAAGAAAGATGAAAATTTCAGTCCAGTAAATGGGTGATATAAATCATAATTACAAAGGTTTCAAATTCACTTGGGCAAACTCTAAAAAGAATCGTTCTAACAAAAAAGGCATATGTAAACATAACCTGGACTATAACAGCAGACAAATGTTAAGCTAAAAGAAGGTACAAGGAAGTCTTTGCAATTGCCGAGCAAAGACAACCTGAGTCCACTTCAACATTGTGACAAATTATACCCAACAGCATTTGGCACAGATTCCTGTATCTTTTAAAACCAACCTTACTCCCATATAATCTCAAATCCATCTATACCCAACACTTACACCATCATACATTGAGAGATAATACTCACAAATTTGCTAAAAACAACTAGCTGCAATAGGGTCACAACTCACAAACATGAATTCTTTGAATATCAAGCACCAAAACAAAAATGTCCATAGATACCTCTTTCTTTACTAAATTAATCTATTATCAAACAGAGCAAAGTGAATTCAATCACAAAATCATGAGATAATCCGGTCACTTTTATTAAACACGGGTACATGTCTAAGTGTAATTGATCATACTCATGTCCGAGTGTCGAGAATCCAACACGGGTAATTAATAAGAAATTAAACTAAACATACAAGGTACACTTAAAGAAATAAAATCATACCGAGACAATATCAAGGGGTTTAGGAGCATCTCTATCAGACCCAGAACTATTTCCAGAACCTTCCACAAACTTTCCAAGACTAGAATTGTAAGGTGAAGCTATAAGAGCAGCAATTTTCTTGCAAGCATATTGTAAATGATCAATTAAGACCACCAAATCATCACCCACATCAATTCCTCCTTTACCCACATACTCAATTAGTGTTTTTGGTTCAATTTCACCACTCAATTGAGCTTTTACTGAGAACCCACCAAAATTTGACATCTTTGGGTTGCAAATTTTGGTGGGCAGAGAAAATTGGGTGGATTTTGGCGGGAAAATTTGGGGTTTTGGCACTAAGAATGAAGTGGGCTGAACGAATATGGTGGATGTAAGCATTGGATTTGTGGTGTTATATTTTGAAAGATGGCATTTGGTGGAAGAAGAGCATATAACTTGGCTTTCTTCTAATTATGGAGTTTATCTACTCATTTTTTTGTTTTGGTTTTGGCCTTTTGGGGCAATGTACTCATGTAGTCGTGTCATGTGTTGTTTTGGCTTCTAATTTCTCCTCCTTTATAATCGCAATAGTTTGATTGATAACTGGTATCAAATCTGGGCACGGGCCGGGTTGGCCTGCGTGCCGCCCGGCACGGCCCGAATTCAAGCACGGCACGGCACGAAGATCAACTCCCGTGCCACGGGCCGTGCCACGGACAGGGTTGAGAATTCCCAGGCACGGCCCGGCACGAGCACGGCCATGGCCCGCCGTGCTGGCCCGTCGTGCCGGCCCGGAACGGCCCGCGGGCCAACGGTAATATTACCGTTTATTCTAGCTCCTTAATAAGCCAAAAAAACGGCTAAAAAACGGCTAGTTTTTTGCCAATTTGCTCCCCAAAAATTCTATAAATACTCACCTCCATTTCATTCCCAAATCACAAAATCACAATCTCTTCTTCTTATCTCTTATATTCTCTAAATCTCTAATAATCCTTATTTTCTTAAATTCTCTAATTATTCTCTTAAATTCTCTAATTATTTTCCTAATATCGGAAAAAATTAAAAAGTTCGTAATCGTAATTAGTGGAGCGTTGAAGCACGGTTGTAAGATCTAAACTAATCTTAAATTTATTATTGTTTTATTGTTATTATTAGAATAATCTTGTTTAATTATTATTGTTGTTAATTGTTATTGTTGTTGTTATAATTGTTGTTATTAATTATTCTAATTGTTACAATTGTTGTTATTATTTATTTTTGTTGTTATTGTTATTGTTATAGTTGTTGTTATTAATTATTATTATTGATATTTTTATTGTTAAAATTGTTGTTATTAATTATTATTATTATAGTTAACCACTTTTTATTAAAAAATTAATTGTTAATTATGGCATCGAACAACCCATCATCTAGGTCTAGGGGGAAAGGCCGACTTATCCGTAGTAGTAGTTCTAGGGAACCACCAAATACAACGAGCCCCCAAATTACGAGTCAAACCAATGACCCCATTTACTCCCCCCCGGGCTATGAGCCATATAATACGTCGGGATTTCCAGCACCACCACTAAACCAATTTCCACTACCACCATACCAATTTCCACCTAATTATATCGGTGATCAACAAAACTATTGTTCTAGCCAAGGTAGCCAAGAAAGTACCCGAATTCCCTCCGGTTCTACCCCTTCTACTGCCACTCCCACTAGTCCCACTACTAACCATCACACACATCATGAATGGTTAACCGAAACTGAGATGCTACTTTTGAAAAACCGAAGGAGTGAGGTATGGCGTTATTTTGTCCTAAGTAAAGATGGTGAACAATGGGCAAAATGTAAAAGATGTAACAGTGTATTCACTGCAGTTACCAAAAACGGGACGGGACACTTATCTAGACACATGAAAGCTTGTGCAAAACCAGCTAGTGATCCAACCCAGCCCAAAATTTCCCAATTCCATCCATACGGCTTTACATACAACTATGAGAGGGATAGGGATGAACTAGGAAAAATGATAGTACACGCCGAACAACCTTTTCTTTTCTCGGAAAGTGACGCATTCAACACCTACATTAACAAAGCACTACAACCCCAACATAAAAGAATCTCTAGGAAAACCGTTCGTTCCGCCGCAATGAAAAATTTCCTAGAGTACAAAGTCCGGTTACAAGCCGAATTGAGTAACCTTAACTGTAGAGTATCTTTAACAGCCGATTCTTGGGATAGTGGTTATAAATATCACTATTTATGTGTGACTTGCCATTGGGTAGATGATCAATGGATGTTACAAAAAAGAATAATACATTTCAAAATGTTGGAATACCCACACACCGGCATTAACATTGCTCACCATTTAATGCAAGCAATAGACGAATACAACCTTCGAGATAAAATGATGTCTATGACTTTTGATAATGCAACCTCTATGACATACACAACTAATCTTATCAAACAAAACTTAACCGATGTACTATTAGACGGTGAAGCTCTTCATACTAGATGTGTTTGCCATGTACTTAACTTATGTGTACAGGATGGAGTTCGGGCAATTGACCCATACTACAGCAAAATCAGAGATGCTATTATGTCTATTAATAGCTCTAACATGAGATACCAAGAATGGAAGAGTTTTCTAAAACAACAAAAGATAAGGGTAATAAAAATTAGAACCGATTGCCCAAATAGGTGGAATTCCACCTATGACATGTTAACAAAGGCAATTGAGTACAAGGGCCCGTTAACATTATTTTACAACCAAAAATTTCCACAAAATGCTTTGTATGATGATGATTGGAATAACTGTGAAAGATATATGCAATTTTTACAGTTATTATATAACATGACGTATTGTTTTTCTACTGTTTACAATCCTTGTGCTCAAAACTTTCTTTCTAATGCATGCTTACTCGCCCAACTTTTCGCTGATCATCGCCATCAAAGTGATTATGATCAGTATCTTCCAGCAATGGAAAAAAAGTGGTGTAAATATTATAGTGAGATTCCTTTGATTTATATTTTTGCTTCCATATTAGATCCTAGGCAAAAGTATGAAAACACATTTATGTTAGTTGACATTTACTTTCAATGCATGTTTCTTGACGATGATGTAGAAAACTATAAGACTAATGTGAAGGATCAGTTTTTTGCTTTATATAGAGTCTATGAAGCCAAATATGGCACCGTTCCTCGCTCAGGGCCTTCCCAACCATCCAAAAACGTAAGTAAGAAGGCCAAACATTTATTTTCACAAGCTACTAACTTGATTTCAAGGTTTTCAGGTGATTCATCAATCAGGAGAACGCAAAGCGACGTCTCGGAGTTGCAGATGTACCTGAGTTACGACTTCACCAAAGGCATGGACGACGATGAGATAAACAGCCTCGACCTCCTTGCATGGTGGAAACAACAAAGCTCGAAGCATCCAACTTTGGCGGCAATGGCACGAGACATTCTTGCTATCCAAGTTTCCTCCGTCGCCTCCGAACGAGCTTTCAGCGCATCCGGAAGGGTTTTAGACGATAGAAGAACAAGTCTAAAACCCGAAACACTAGAAATGTGCGTGTGTTTCAAAAATTGGTTGGATGCGGAAAATCGCTCACAAGACCGTTCTTACGACAACAAAGAAGGAACCTCCGCTTCCGGTTCGGGTTCGGCTAGTTCCCAATCTATGCAACTAGCCGATGACCTTGAAGGCGAAGGCGAAGACGAAGACGAAGACGAAGACGAGCAAGAAGAAGGAGAAGAAGAATAGACAATTATTGTATATTGTACGATTTTAAAAATATCAATTTTATCATTTTCCAATTTTTGTTTAATACCATCATTGTATGATTTTTATCATTGTTATCATTGTACAATTTTCTCAACTCAAGTAATAATAATATAAAGTACGCATTATTCACATCCAAAGTCCAATTTGCCTTTTTTCCCCGTTTTGTTACAATTTGTAAATTCATATTAAAAAAAAAAAAATATACCAATTACTAATAAATCATAAACATTAAATTTTAAAGTAATAGTATAAAGTAATTATATAAATATAAATATTGAATATACAAATTATAAAACATAAATATTCACTTATAATTATAAAATTCATAACTTAATAACTTATAACTTATAAGTTATAAACTTATAAGTTATTAATTTATAATTATAATTTTATAACTTATATACGTTATAAACTTATTAATTTATAATGTTGTCATAAAAAAAAAAAAAAAAATTATTTGAAAACTTCACCAGCCCGCAGGCCAGCACGTGGCCGGCACGACACGAGCCCGCCAGGCACGAGGGCCGTGCCGTGCCGTGGGTTGGCCTGTGAAAATGCCCGGCACGTCACGACACGAAATCCTGGGCCCGCCGGCACGACCGGCACGGCACGAACCAGCCCGTGGCCAGCCAGGCACGGCCCGCGGCGGCACGGCCCGGCACGGTGCCCAGGTTTAACTGGTATACGAAGTCGATGGCATCATAAAAATTAAGTAGGGTATCTTTATAAATTAGTATTCACTTAACTATACTTTAAGCATCTAGTTTTTGAAGTTAAAGTATATCATTGGTGGATTATACCAAAAAGAAAATATTCAAATAATTTTAGAATTGATTAAAATAAAGAAAAGGGAAAGAGAAAAAAAAAAAAAGCTAACGAGATTAGATTTTTCATATTGGCTTCAAAGATTATCTCGACCAATAAAAAAGTCATTAATTAACTAAGGCCCTGTTTGGTAATTAGCTGGTAGCCGATTGTATTAGCTGGTTATAATAGTTGGTTTGACTAGCTGGTTATAGTAGCTGGATTGACTACCTGGTTATGATTAGCTGATTGTATAAAAATGTTTGGTAAATAGCTGTTAATTGTTAGCTGTTTTAGTGTATTTAAGAAACAAAAAGCTAATTGTACAATAAGCTAATTTTAAAAAGCTCTTATAATGAGCTTTTTCCAAAAAAAGTTTTTTGAGTCCAAAAAGCTCTTTTAATAAGCTATATACCAAACACCCAAATTAGCTTTTTTAATTGGTCAAACATCTAATTGGACAAAATAAGCTAAAAGCTCTTTAAAAAGCTTTTTACCAAACACGCCCTAAGTGTATAATTTGACTATTGGGTTTTGGGTCGCATCAAAAAGCCAAAAGTCAACTATAAAGAGTTGAATGATCATTTATCATATATCACTAGTTCACTACATATTCATATCCGGTATATGTTTGCAAACACATAATATATGAACAAAAACAGAGATACAAGTAAAGTGAAAGAGAGTGGTTAACAAGCATTTTAAAGTCAACAATTGTGATTAATGGAAGTATTCAGGATCACTTATTATTATTATTATTATTATTATTATTATTATTATTATTAGCAAGAAATCAGTCAAGGCTCCTTCTAGACAAAATGGTGGATTTTCTCTATTTGAAGCTTCTAGATTTTTGAAGTATTGAGTTATGACATCAAATATCAGCAATATATTTAATCAATTTGTGACATCATCACTATTACATCACCAGAAACGTGAAATAATTCTGATGTACAATACTTGTAATATGTTGCAATATCTTTTAAAAAGATTAAAACAAATAATCTTAACTTTGAGTCTTGGATTGCTTAAACAAAGAACAAAAAAATCAAGTTATTTATGTCATGCTTAAAAAAAACAACTGAAAAAGTTATGCAAAGTTAAATAGAGATTTTTTATTATAAATAACCAAATAAAAATGAATCCAATCAGCAAGGAACTAACACTAGTTAGAATTAATTTTCAGAGTTATAATAAGCCCTTTTTTTTTTTTTTTCTTTTAACAAAAATGAACCGAAATTGCAACAAACCACAAAGTTAGACTTTATTGTGAGAGTGATCAATCAATAACCCTTATTTTTATTACCATAATTAGAAACTTTTTGAATTAGTTTAGTCATGCATTTTATATTGTTTCTCCGTTTCATAATATTAATCCTATATAGAATCTTTTAACTCTTAAAAATTAGAGGGAATCTTCTAAATTTCTCTCTATATATAATAACAAACATAGTCATATGAGATCTATTTTATTCGTCTATCTCGATGAGTACTTTATTAATATCTAATTTTTAAACTTTTTGCTATTGTAACATTAAAGATATTTATAATCAAATATTTACACCGCTATATATACATGATACTAATATTATAAAACGGATTAATAAAATAAAGTACTTTAAATTCATCACAAAAACACGAGCAATCAAAGTATCAAACATACGATCAAAATGTCCTTATCTATGACCATTTCTTAACTCCCCTCCAAGTAATTTCCACATGCATCACCCCTTGTACTAAATTACTAAACCCCACTTCCCTCTTTCCTTCTCATCTACTTCTCTTGATAATAACCTTTGTTCAATAAGTTGAATTATTGGGACCCCAAAAAAAAAGGGATATTAATGCCCTAGAACAAATTTACACGTACCTTTCATCAAGGATAAATCACATTCATATACAAGTATATGCCTTTCTTAATTTCATCAAAGAACCTTCCTAGTTCCTATTCAATTGGCTTGACCAAATCCTTTAAAAAAATCCACAAAATTGGCTATTGTTGAATTTTATATATTTATTTTATAAATCAAGGCTTTGGTCTTCATAGACTGCTGCTAAAAGTAACGGTCCACTTTATTTAACCAATCATTTTTGATTGCTTATCTTTGCTTCATTCTATTACTATATAATGAATCATCTAATTATTATAAAACTTCTCAAAACATAAAAAAGCTGAGAATTTTTTTTTTATATAAATCCCAAAAATCTTAGCTTAATTTTCTAAAGAGTTTAACACTTATTAAGAGTGATTTAATTCCATGTCTAGTAGATCAAAATTAAGGCAGCCTATGAAAGTTGTGCATATAAAGACACAATATGTGGAAACTGATGCTTGTAGTTTCAAGTCTGTGGTTCAAGATCTCACTGGGAAGGACTCCACCATAGCTTACGCTCCTTCAACTTCACGGGTTATGAAAGTAAGTAAAGAGAAAATTAGTGCTCGGCCTCAATCGAGGCTAGCACGTACGAGTCATGGCCTTCAGACGACGTCTGAGGGCCATTTCATGCTTGATTGTTGTGAGGGAAACAACCTTCAAGATTATATGGGTCGAGGTGGTGGTGGTGGTGGTGGGAGTTATTCATTTTTGTCTAGGAATTTGTCTTACAAAGAGATGGATAGGTTGTTGAAAGAAATGCCTCCTTTGGATGATTTGCATAAAGTTTTATCTTTTGATTAGTACAAATGAATTACTTGTCTAAGGTAGGAAAAATGGAGAAGATATTGTTATATGATTAAAATGGCGAATATATTGTTTCGTGTAGCTAACATGGCCTAACACGACTATAGTTATTTAGTGGCAAGGGATCAACACATTGGAAGGGAAAAAAAAATTGTAAAAGCAATGTTATATGGTTCAAAATGGTGAAAATGTTGTTTCGTCTACACTATGTAGCTAGTAAATCTTTAGTGTATAGATAACTTTTGTTTTATTAATTATTTTGATTTATTTTTTGTCAAAAAAAAAATATATTTTGATTTTTTAGTTGTTCGCAATCTAGCAGTTGATTTTACATTTTTATTTATTTTTTTTTTGTTTTTGTTTTTGTGAGTGTGTTCATGTATCTATCATGAGCTTAAAGCATTTTATGTTAAGTGTAACTACAAAGCTCATGATAGATAGGCAAAGCTACAATTATTGTTGTTTTAGAAGAAAGAAATAATTCTACTTAGTCCTTGTTTGCGAAATAGATAGGCAAAGCTATGATAAAATTTTAGAACATGACAAACAAGGTAAATCATGATTAATGAGATTGAGGTCCATAAAATTTGATCCTAGAGTGGCATATAACATGAAAAGCGATACTACTACTCCACTACCTCATCCTTTTTTTAGATAGCTTAATTTATATCATCCCGTCAAAAAAATAAAAACTTATATCATACTCCATGATGTAAACAATATCACATCAGTAGAAATATTATGAAGGAGTTGTACACATGTAAAGGATGTTAGAATACTTCGTATTATATTAGTACGTCATGTTCAGCATACATCATTCATTATGTCACCCTAAGTATAAACTATTACATGCGAATGTGGCATGCATCACATTACAATCTCTCAACAGGTCAATTCTTGTCTTGAGCTATTGTATATAGTCATGACATGATAAAATCACAAATCATAATAACTTTGAAACAAATGGAGTGATTATATTTTTATTCACCGAAAAAATTGATACTTCGTATCATCTCAAGCTACTCTTTTCCATACTCGAGTCCACATCTCAACAATCAACCTTAACTTCTTTCGGTATCTCCTCTGAATCTTCAACATTAACTTCTTTGAAAATCTCTTCACTGTCTTCAACGTTAACTTCTCTTAATATCTTAGCGGCATCTTGAGGAAATACTGGATTAATGTGACATCCAGTAGCGATTTCAAATCCAGCTAGCACAGTCAACTGAGGGACTATCTGTAGAAACCAGTGACTGCAGCTCAATTGTGAATCATCAATTCGCAAAGGAGATGTGTGAATCATATAGTTAAATGGTGGGTTATTTAGTTGTAAAGCCATCTTTTTCAGCATAAGTTTGAGTAATCCACCAAGGTCGTCTGCCTGCATACACAGACCAAACAATGTCAGAATCTTAATATAAACATCAACGATTGCATGAAAATGACAGTTTGGTACTGCAAAGTTGCAAATGTAGTTTCGTGAAAGCTGAAATAATGTACGAGTACTGTTTTGGTAAATTACTATCGAAATATCAATTTCAATTGGAAATTTGGGGGGGGGGGGGGAGAATGGTATGAAAAATACATTTAGACTTGAGCAATAAGAGGATTATTGATATTTCTCTCCCTGTTGCCAAGCTGTACTCAACTGGACTCGTTCCTATGCATCAGCACATCTCTTAATTCTAAAACTTGTGCTTATTGACATGGAAGGACCTCCCATGAGTCCCATTATGAATTCATGAGCATAACACTGATGAGAACATCGGTTATACACAGACAAACCAATTTATACTAAAGAATGGATGGATAATCATGAATCAGCAGGATATGTAAACCCCATTCCTCTATAAAGTAATTTGCACAATACAGTATATTGTAACTCTCAATATACCAATTTTACTCTTTGCTAATAGCTAAGCTAATCCTCATTATTCAACAACATTATTTTTGTTATGATACACAATTTTTGAATTTTCGAAAGTACTCATCTATTCAACAACATTATATCTGCTACGATACACAATTTTTGAAATTTCAAAGGTACTCATCTATTCAACTTTAGCACTTTATAAGATTGTAGAAAGATCTTAGTCATTTAGTCAAGGAATGAACTTAATATAGTTTCCTGGCTAAAATACAGTCAACACAAAATGAAAACTAACAAAATGAATTACAAGGGAACAGGAGCAGTCAATATCACCTTTTCCTTATCTATATCATGGAAATGGGCAGAGTGAACCCGCGGAATAATCCAAATCTCAAAGGCATAGCTTGCAGCATATGGAACAACTGAAACAAAGTGTCTTGATTCATAAATAAGAAGCTCTTTCGGTAACTTCTCACAAAGGATACAGTTCCCTGTCTGCTCAAAATGCTCTTTCATAGCTGCAAGGCGAGTAGATACAGAAGGGGGAACAATGGGAAGAGCTATTATCTGACTATGAGAATGGCTCATTGACGCTCCAGCAGAAGCTCCATGATTTTTGAACACCTATACAGCATCAAATGGTCGGTTTTAGCAAGCAAGGAAGGGATGGGGGGAAAGTTAGACAATCATGACGGGGCTCAGTTTTAGACCTTTAGGCCATCAAACTTGGATTCTTCGATTTACCTCAACTAGCCAAGTCAAATTCTCTACACTTCAGCTTAAGTATGAGACTATGGACACTTGAAAATATATTAATACGAAAATACTTCAATGAATAGCCAAGTCACACTTACACGGGTACCCGTATCCAACACATCAACTTCACTGTAAGTAATATTGAAAACAAAGCAGATCAACAATGGGCAACAAAACTTAAATGTCAACAACCAAATTGAATGCTTCTTGTTTACACATTTGAAAATTAGAAAGAACACTAATCCCCAAAGTCTCACAATATCCTAACAAAAGACCTTTCTAATAATAGGCAACATCATATCTAACAAAAAGGACACATATATATGTATCACTCATTACTATTTTTCATATTAGTAATGAATATCCACACAAAAAGTTCAACAAGATTACAACTTTATCCTAAAACCAAATATCCACACAAACACAAAACTATCACACCCTTTACCCACACTACCAAAAGTCCAAAAGTAGTAATTTTTATTCCAATTGCACCAATTTTTGAGCTAACACTACCAAAAGTAGTAATTTTAGTTTCAATTCACCAAATTTGGACCTAACAATACTAACAGTAGTAATTTCAGTTCCAATTGCACCAATAATAAACATACTCTTTAAACCAATCATATCAACCAGTTATTCTTTTGCAAAATTAGTAGTCTCCCATCCTAGAATAAATTCCACCCACACTTGATTCAAGGCAACAATTACAAAAACTTTTCAATAAATAGCCGAGTTGGACATTTGGACACGGATATATTCTTGATAAACCAAATGCAATTATCAACATCAACACTAAAAAAGGACATAAGAAGAGAAAATCAAACCTGAATATATTGGATGTCATCAAAAGAAGCAATTTGAAGCGCCCTCTTTTTATAAGCCATCAAAACCTCCCCAACTCCGGACCCGGGAAGATCAGACAAATGAACCGGGTGGGTGGTTGTCTCAATCACAACATCATGAAACCCAAACCCGGGTACAAACCCACAATCCGGGTTTTCTAAACCCGGATTGTGGGGTTGTATATCCCTGCTAAGAGCGGGATATAAGTTCTGGATGACTCGGATTCTCCAATTAGAATAAGAATCCGAGTCATCCAGAACTCGGAAAATCTCCGGGGCACATTCGTGCTCGTGCCCAATACAAAAAGGGCAAGTCTGCGACTGTGTTAGATTGGGGTCTGAAACAGGGGATTTGGACTTGAAATCAGAAGGGCGTTTGGATCTTGCTGGAGAAAAAACAACCCATTTGTTGTTGATTTTGTCTTTCCTTAATTCTGGGTTTTGAGGTAATGAAGGAGGAGGTTTTTGTGATGCCATATTTTTCTGGGATTTGGGGTTTTGCTGGTGAAATTGGTGGCAAAAAGTGGGTTCCAAAATTGAAGGGAAAGAAGAATAAATAGTGTAAAGTTGAAGGTTAGGCTTTGATTACTGTAATATGAAAATGTAACGATTTTTTTTGTGGAATAAAAGTGTTTTTTTTTTTTTTTTTTTTTTTTTTTTTTTTTTACTTGGTAAAAAATGCTTCCAAAATAAAGCTATGGTGGAATGAATGATTAATTGTTGATATACATAAGTGAAATTTTTACTTAATTAAGCGAATGCTAATCTGATTGAGGGTCTGTTCTGATTTACTGAACTGAACTGATTGGAGCTAAATTGAATTGAAGAAAACACTGATTCCTTTCATAAAAGTTAGTTTGTATTTTTCCCTCAAAAATGTTAAAAGTTAATTTATTTTAGTAAACATAGAATTAATACAAAGAACATTAAAAGATTTGATGTTTTTGCTCAAAGGCACAAGAAAATATATTGAGATAGGAGAGGACTAGAGGCATAGAGCGGACAAAAGCTAACATGACACGACAACACAACACAATGCCAACCGAACATGAAACAATCAAGTTAGTGACTTAATGTCAAGCCTTTCGACACATTTGATTAAATGGATCAACATATACTACGTATCAAACAATTTATCTAAAATTTGCTTCAGCATCTATAAGTGCAGACTAATACTACTCCCCTATGTTATTAAAATTTTATTTTACCTAGGAATATATCAATTTATCTATTGAATGTTTTTTTTACCCAATGATCAAATGAGCAACAAAAAATAAACATGGAAAATAAAATGAAAGTTGAGCATTTGAGCATAAAAACATGACTGCTCATTTCATAATGTACAAAGTGCGTCACACACTGAGACACACAGCTTATTTTCAGGAGTAAACATAAAAGCTAAGTTCAAAGGCAGTAAATAAGATCAACAAATTTGCTTAGGACAAGTAACGAGACATCCATGACTGGAAGCGAGACCATGCAAGCTGGACATTAGCTTCATTTAGATCATTCAATCCCATGGCCTTCCTCCTCTCAATTCCTTCTGGAGACAGATTCATGAAAGCATGTCCACTTCCTGGGTAGATATGAACCTCATTTGGCACACCGGATAGCTTCAGCTTTTCCTCCAAACTTTTGGCAGTCTGAGATTTCAAGTAGATGTCAAAAATATATATTCAGAAAGTCTTAAAAGATGCATTTACCCAAAACACCAATTCACCATAACACACTAATGCATTCAAACCTTAGTAAATATTGACACATGGCTGCTTTTACAATTATAATTGTAATATGAAGAGTATAATGAAAGAAAAAAAAAAAAATCAGTTTTTATAGACAATAAAATCACATTGAGCAAAATCCTGAACTATGTTTTGGTATTCAAAGCATTTCCCAGTTTAATTATCATGGAATAACATAATACTCAAGTTGATCTACATGGAAAGCTTGCTGTTCAATCACATATTTGTATGCCATGATTGCCATCTTTGTGAGTATAGATATTAGGAATGAAACTCTCGACCTATTTAACTTTAACTAATCTTTCATTTATTTTGGGTGCATGTGAAGTAAATGCAACATCCAAAGACAAAGGGCCTTGACTGTGCAGACTTGGACCACACAAATGCAGAATTTTTTGGATAACAAGTTGTAGTGTGACTATATGATGCTTGGGGTTCGTAATCAAATACGACATACTTCGTACCATTTACAGTGTTCACTCATTTATTTTCTCTATACAAGATGATAAGAGAATAGTTTGTAAGTTCTCCTTTTCTGGTCAATAGGATCTGTACTCCGAGTCTCCGATAGCCATATGCGACCAACTGTAGGAGCTTAGGAGGGGATATAGATGTATGCTGTTCTACTCTAAACATAAATTAGGTGTAAAAGGGCTGCATGTCAGTGAAGCTAGAGTGAATATCAAAACACACTATTTCTTATCGTTCTGATATAATAGTTAGCTATTGTATTCAAGGTGGAGGGTTGTGAAAGGTGGGGAGGGGAAATTTTGGGGAAGAGACTTACTTCCACATCTGAAAACCCAGCAATGTTATCCAAATCCCCAAAATGAGCTTGGACAGGAGCTTTAACCTGGGCAGGATCAGCAAGCTGTGGTGAAGGAGTTCCATAGAAGCCAACAACAGCATCAATTCCAGGCACTAAGACAGCGCTAGCAATCGAAAGAGCACCTCCCATACAATATCCAGTTACTCCAACCTACAAAACAAGTTGGTTCATTAATAAAACGCGCCCATAATTTGTACATGGAGTGAACAGTTTTGTATAACAATAACATGCCTAACTAAAGAAAGCAAGAACTTTTACAATTTTTCCACAGCAAAATCAAATACCAGACCTACAAGCGCATACCTTCTGCGAACCATTTGCCTTAAGCCAATTGACAGAAGCTTCAATATCCTTAATAGCACCTGCCCAGTCCAGACCTTCCATCAAATGCTGAGCTTCAGCAGCATCTAAACCCACCTTTCCACGGTACAAGCTACAATAAACAAACACGACGAACAAGTTAATATGAATATGACCACTCAAATTATACTCTCAAAGATTCATAAAAATCAAAGAAACCACAATTTCCTTACTCTGGGATAAGTGCCTTATAACCAGGCTCCAGCTGAGATATTTTTATAGCATGGTTCTTAATTTCATAGTCTACTCCCCACCATTCTTGAAGCACAACAATCGCAGGAGCATCGTCTTTTCCAACAACATATGCATCAAAGCTCTAGCAATTCGTACAAACAATACACGAAAAATTAATCATAAATCTTTAGTGAAAACAGAACCCTTGAAACGCTCTTATGCTTTAAAAGTCAACAACTCAAACCAAAAAATAGCTCCTCCCTAATCTACCTGATAAGTAGTTATTACCAAAGTTAGACTCTTCATATACCCCCAAGTACCCGTGTTGGATCCTCGACACTCCGACATGGGTGTATAATGTATAAAACATACTTAAACTTTGTACCAAAAACATGAAAAAATTTCATTATTATAGCTGAGACCCAGTACCATAGGTTATTATTAATATAATGGTATCAAGAATATCTCAAATCACAAAATCCAATTAGAGAAATGTAAAACCCAGAAAGCATTAAGAACTAACATAATATACTCATCAAAAACCCCCAAATAATTGCCCTCTGAAAAAAGCCAATTGCTTAATTTGATAGAATCCCATTTCATTTCTCAGCTAAAATATGCTAAATTATATCCAAATTTTCATTAAAAATCAAATAATAACATGCAGAAATTACAAGAAACAAAGACAAGAAATAATACCCATCTAAAAATCTGGTCAAACTATAAGAAATAAGGAGAAAATAAAGTATAAAAATCAAAGATTATAAGATGATGAAAAACATACAGTGTCCTCTCGTTTAATCTGGATTTTGTTGAAGGCAGAATCAGCCATTGATCGAATTTGAAGGCGATTAGAGAAGGAAGAAGAAGGGTATTTGTATTTTACAGGAGAATATCTGATGAAGGAAGATGATGAATCAAATAAGGTTCTGGAAGCTCTACAAGCTAAAGACCCTATCATTTTTAAAGGGTTTATTTAAGGTTTATTTTGTTGGGTGAATTGTTGGTCTAGTTTAGTTTTCTACCTTCAACCTTGTGTCCTTGTACTAACGGAGTAACATACAACGAGACTCTTCTAGTTCTAGGTTACTTTTTTTTTTTGGTTTTTTTCCCTACAAAATACAAATAGTTTGTGTTTGAGTATAGTCCTAACATGAAAATGCCTACATCGACTGCATAGTTATTGTATTTTTGGAAATGAAAATGAGGCAATATGAGCACTATACACATTACGACGTTTGGGAGTGCACTACCAGTCTACCACGCATGGGTATAAAAGGCAACGTGAGCCACTACACTATGTAATGGGAGTGTACGAGGATATATGTACATGTTTATTTTATCCCCCTATCCAAGTATAGTACGGAGTAGTATGCTTTCATTTAGATACATAGTGATGTTTACAAAGGAGCAAGTCTATACTTCCTATATGAAATGTAACCCAAACATATAGGGAGGTAGACAAATAATATACCATAATGTTAATATAATGCTTTACATTTGATATCTTAAAAAATAACCTTTTAATAATAGGAAGCATAATCTATCACACTACAAAATTCAATTAATCATACTCTCTCAATCAAGGTGTTGTGCGACAGCGGAAGCAAAGGTCGAAAACAAACAAGAAAACAATAAAGAAATTCAATGCAAACAATAAGAACAACACCAAGAAGTTACGTGGTTCACTATCGATGTGATAGCTACGTCCACGGGCACCGAGATCGAATGATTTCACTATAAACTGCAAAGATTACAAAGATGATTCTTGTATTTCTCAAGAACGGCTCTCACTCTGTCTCTCTTCACCCTAATACTGATATTAGGGAGGTTTTATATTAATCCCTAATTAAAAGATACTTGGGCAAAAAGATAATAAAATAAGATAACCTAAAACCGCAAAATCCGCGTTCCGTATTTTTCCTTCTCCGCCCGGTCAGACCGGGCAAGGTCTGCCCGATCGGGCGCGAGAAGAAAACTCCATACGAATGCTTCAACGTATCCAACCCCCACCGCCCGGTCAGACCGGGCAAGGTCTGCCCGATCGGGCGAAGGCTCGCCCGGTCGGGCGAAGGCTCGCCCGGTCGGGCGCGAGAGCAGCTTCTTCAACGAATTTGCCAGGCACCTCTTCTTCTTCCGCCCGGTCAGACCGGGCAATGTCCGCCCGATCGGGCGGACAAAGCTACGAAGTACGAGTCACCTAATATACTTATCAACAATCTCCACCTTGACGAGAACTCGTAGTCAGCAAACGACCCCATCAAGACATAGTGAAAAAACATCTCAAGCCAAACCCGATGCAGGACTCATGCATAAGCCATACATCCCGATAAGTCTTCAACCAAGACCCATCACATACTCGTCTCCAAGTATAACAACTCATAATGCTCCACCTGCATCACAAGCCCCGGGCAAGCTCCACCTTAAGGCCAACACACCTACACCAGGAGCTCCCCAACTTCGCCCCTCAGGGCCTACTACATCACGTAGTAATCAATATTTAGCAAGTCTAAGCAATGTTTAAACTTGCTAAACGGAACAGGCTTAGTGAAGAAATCAGCCGGGTTGTCAGCAGTCCCAATCTTCTTCACCTTAATCCTCTTGTCAGTACGCAAGAAATGATACCTGACATCAATGTGCTTCGTCCGATCATGGTGTACTTGATCTTTAGCTAAGCAAATCGCACTTAGACTATCACAATACACTGTAGCAAAATCCTGTGCAATACCCAGATCACCTACTAGGCCTTTGAGCCAAATAGACTCCTTAGCTGCAGAAGTTAAAGCCATATACTCAGCTTCAGTAGTTGACAACGTAACTGATGACTGCAATGTAGACTTCCAACTAACCACAGAACCACCCAAAGTGAACACATAACCAGTCACAGACCTCCTGGTATCCACATCAGCTGCATAATCAGAATCACTGTACCCAGTGACCAAGCATTCCTTATCATTCCCGTACACAAGACCAATATCAGCTGTCCCTCTCAGGTAGCGAAAAATCCTTTTCACCCCTTGCCAGTGTTCCCTCCCAGGTCGAGCCATAAACCTGCTTACAACACTA